TCGGGCCCCGGTGGGGTTGGACCGAGGGAGAGTGGGGTTTCCCCGCCCGGAGCAGCCGACGGGCCTGCCCCCTCCGCTCAGGACTTGGGCAGGCAGAGTGGGGACGGTGTCCATCGGACCCCCCCTCCACCCGCGAGGACTTAGATGCCCGCCAGCTGAGGGGCGTGCGGTGGCACGCGAGGGAGGGGTCTTGTGAATGTTTGTGGGCTGCTGATGAGTAGGGGCAGGTGGTGGCTACAGTCCACGCAGACCACTTCCTGGAATAAGACTGGAGCTCGTCCCCTCGCTCCCCCAGCCTGTGCAGGGGACAGCAGTCCCTTAGGATTGGGGAGCGGAGAGGAGAGTGTCTGGGGAACCAGATGCCCCCAGCTCCACCCCCTTCATCTCGCCGGGCCTCTGGGCTCTTTTGTGTCAAGTGCGGTGGGGGGGGGGGGTCCCTCTCCTGACCCCGTCAGTCTGGGGTGGCCAAGCTGCCCAGCTGTGACTCTCACGTGGCTGCCATTCACTGTCACTCACTCTCTCGCTGAAACCACCCACTCCCTGAGCACGTTGGGGGGCGTGAACTGCCCACCCAGCTGTTCTGCAGCTTGACCATCACTCAGCACCCGTCCCCCGAGGTGACAAGTCACCCGGCGGCACTCTCTGGGCGGCGCTCTCCAGACCGCTGCGCCGCGTGAGGCGCCCAGCGGTGTCCCCCTCAGACCACCCTCCTAGTGGAGTGATTTCTAGTCTTCTTTGGGATAGGTGAGCATCTGGGTGTCCACACCCCCCGCCTGGGGAACGGCAGGGGAACGTCCGCACCCCCGGGCCTCTGGCTGCCATGCGGCACAAATGCACCAAACTTCAAAACGGCCAACACCGGGCTCTTTGTAAAACTCATATTGATCCGTGTGGCTTCTGTGGCAAACGTTCCTGTCTAGCCGAGACGACCTTTGGGGGAGCGGGGGGTGCTTTCTTGTGGGTCGGGGAGGGATGTGCGTCTCCTGGAAACTGGATAAAGTCTCCCCGTCCCCCAAGCTTGTCTGAAAAAGGGAAAAGTTTTGAAAAAGTTCTCCCAGAGAGCCCCCTGCCTTGGCAGGAAGGGGAGGAATGAGGAGTTGTGGGGAGAGGGTGCCTTTGGGGTTGCCTCCGGCAGAGGCGCTGAAAAGAGGAAAAGAAAGGCCGCCAGGTCCTGCCAGGGGCTTGGCAGCGCTCACCTATTTGTATTGGGACTTGGAGTCTGGGGTGGGGTTGGGTGGGTCTCGGATCTGGGTACGTGGGGGAGAGAAGCGTGAAAGGATCCGAGGTTGAGATGGGTCTTTGTGTCAACCTGGCCTCCGCTTTCCTTCTTGGCTTTCTGAATAGACCAGAAGAAACGTCAAAGGCTGCTTACATTTTACATCTGAAATGAAAACCCACCTCCCCTCTCCCCCTGGGCAATTTTTATCTCCCTTTCAGCCCTCCAAGTCGAATGAGTGACCCAGATACACCCCCTCAGATGACTTTCGGAGGTAAAACTTCGGGAAAATATTTTTAGCCCACTCATTATTTCTGTCTACCTAAGTGTGGGGAAAATAACCCTCCTCTAAGGCAATGTGTTCAGGCTGCCCTCGCTCTTCCTTGTCTAGAATATGCATTTGTGCACAGGAGAGGTTTCCATTGTTTTCCATTCCGACTGCTTTGATTCTCACCATTTTGTTTTACATTCTTACTCAAGACCAATTTTATCCCTTCCCCCTCTCTCCAGTCTCCTTACATTGTTAAACGTTTAAAATAATAGCAGTCGTGTTGGTGGGGGAAGGGAGCAGGAAGCCAAAAACTCATTTCTTCTCCCTCCCCCTTCTGGCAAGTCGAGAGAAATAATATAACATAATATATAGATGTGATTCCTTGGGGGTGGGGGTGGGGAATGATTGTGGGTGGTGCGGAAAATTCTGGTAGTTTCTTTGCAAAAGGTCTGAAAATACAAACCCACCCCCTGCCTGCAGTACGCATGTGCAGCAGACCTATTATGGTGGTGCGTTGTGGGGGAGGGAGGGGAATTTGAGAAAAAATAAATATATGTGTGAGAGATTGATGGTGAGATTAGAAGAAGAGAGGGGCGGGCAGGAGGCGAGGCTTCGGTCGAGACTCCTCCCGCTTGCTCGGGCGGCCAGGCTCCGCCCTGCGCCCTCCGGCCCCCGCCTCTTTCCTCCCTGCCTCCCTGAGATCCGAGCCGGGGATGTGGGAGAGTCTGGGCTCCAGGCCAGCATTGAGTGGCTGCTGAGACCGAGGTTGGGACTTAGATTTTGCTTTATTACCCGTCCTTGCTTTTCCTTGCCATTCTCGCCTTGCCTCTCCCGCCACCGACGTCTGCCCAAGTTCGGGAACCTCCCGCTGGGGTGGAGAGTAGAGTGAACGGGCTTGTGCACCACCCCTGGCTGGTGGTGGCCGAGGCCGTGTCCCTGATCCTTAGCCAGTTGGCCTGCCCTTGCCACTGCCCCGGCAGCCTCCGTTTCCATGTTCAAGTCAACCGAAGTCCCTGGGGCCAGGGGAGCCGGCTGCTGGGGCATGGCGCCTTCCTTGCTGACTTCCTATTACAGTCCCCATTCCGTTTCACACCCGGGCTCTGGGCAGCCACCTCCCTGAACAGACGCACACAGTCCTAGAGTGTCTTCCTGCACAAGGGGACACAGGATGCTGTAGTTAGCAGGAAAGGTGGCACTGAAGGAAGGAGAGGCTCCGACTCTGAGGCAGTGGAAACGGAGGCCTCTGGTGTTAATTGTGGCTAATTTTCCGTTGGCTGTTGAGGGAGGAAGAAAGGATTGTGTGTCCTAGAGCTAGGGGCTGGGCCAAGCCCAGGCTTTCCCGTCCTGCGTCGGCTGCCTCTGTCTGTACTAGACAGGTCTGGCTGGTTAGTCTAGTGCTTGGTAGGGGAAGGAGGCGAACCAGAGCCCCAGGGCGCCAGGTCTGTGGGGCATCCTGTCTTCCTTTATGTGGGGTAACTCTCCATTCCCCAAGCCTTCACAGAGTTAGTGACACCTTCACAGATATGGGGTGGGGGGACATCAGGGAAGAGCCTGCCTGGGGCCCTCTGATAGAGACATCTGGGGAGAAAGCCAGGGACCTAGCCCTGCTGAAGCAGGTACAGGCCCTCCTCTGGATTTGTGGGCCTCAGTGTGTGTGGGTGGGTGCGCGCGCGCGTGTGCTTTTGAGAAGGCATGTGCTGGGTGTGTCTGTCTGCGCCTATATCTTTGTTTGGGTCTCCCATACTGCCTATAGATGAATGGGTCAGGATATCTGGAACAAAATACGGAGGTGAAGGGTGAGATCGGGAAACAAAGGGTATGGCCCCCAAGTTCTCAGAGGGAGTGGGGAGATGGGAATAGAATTGAAGGTAGGTTTTAGGCTACTTGGGAGGAGGAATGTTTAGGTAATTGTGGAGACTTTCTCCTGTCGAATTAGGGTGTGATGAAGGAGGCAGACACTGTGATCCTGTGGGCAAGAAGTAAAAATGACCAGCTGAGGATTTCTTTTCCTCCAGGACTGTGTTGGGGTGACAGGATGCCTGGTAATTATCCGAGGAAATGTAAATAGAGGCCTCCCTCTTGGCAAAAGGATGTCAGGGCCCCAGGGTGTTAGTGTGAGAACCCAGGTGTCCACCTTTGGCTCTCCCTCCCCAGCATCTGGCTTAGGGAGCTGCCAGCTTGTGTCTCCCCACTCCAAGTGCTGGGGTCAGGCCAGGCCAGCAGCTGGGCATGGCTTCCCCAGTTCCTGGGCAGGATGCCAGCTGGCGAAGTGAGGGGGAAGGCAGGAGGAGCCCTGGCGGTGACTGAAAGGACCTGCCACAGTCAGAGCCCATGGCCTGGAGCCTGGTCCCTTGTTAGTAGGAAGGGAGGGAGGGGAGTGGTTTGGCTGCTCTTCTCTTCTGACCCCTGACCTCCCATTCAGAACCAGAGCATCCCAGAGTACTCGAAACACTTTCTGTTTGCATCCAGTGAGGGGGGGCAGGGCTTGGAGGAGTTAATGCCCCAGTTCCTAGAGAGCGGGAACTGCTGTGGTGGGGAAGGGGCAAGTTGAGGGGCCTCAGGGGCTGGAAACCTAGAGGCTTAGGTTTTCTGATGCTTTTTGCTTCAAAGATAAGGATGACATTCGGCTGCTGCCTTCAGCATTGGGTGTGAAGAAGAGAAAACGAGGACCCAAGAAACAGAAGGAGAACAAGCCAGGAAAACCCCGAAAACGCAAGAAGCGTGTAAGTGTCAAGAATTTCTAACTCTGTGGCAAGGCTCAGGAGACCCATTCTCAGAGACCTACATTTTCTCTGGTCCTGATTACTGGTGTGGGGGTAGGGGTCTGAAGCCAGGGAGGCTTGATCCCCTGGGCCCCCCAATTCCCTGCCACTGTTGGCCTGTATCTCAGGGATCTGGGACCCTAACTTCATTCACCGCAACCTAGTGAAGAGCCTTGTTGTCAGCATGACTTGCCTCAGCAGCAAAGAGAAGCAGTTGAAAGCACAAGCTCCGGAAGAAGACTGTATGAATTCAAGAGTCCAACATTCCTCTGTCTAGGATACCAGGCCGTTTATTTGGCTTTCTGTGCCTTAGTTTCCTCATCTGTAAAAGTAGATAATGGCCGGGTACAGTGCTTCACGCTTGTAATCCCAGCACTTTGGGAGGCCGAGCCGGGTGGATCATTTGAGGTCAGGAGTTCGAGACTAGCCTGGCCAACATGGTGAAACTCCGTCTCTACTAAAAATACAAAAATTAGCCGGGCGCAGTAGTACATGTCTGTAATCCCAGCTACTCAGGAGGCTGAGGCAGGAGGATTGCTTGAACCCGGGAGGTGGAGGTTGCAGTGAGCTGAGATCACACCACTGCATTCCAGCATGGGTGACAGAGCAAGATTCCATCTCCAAAAAAAAAAAAAAAAAGGAGATAAAAAATTAGTTACTATCACATATGATTGTTGTGAAGATTAAAAGAGATAAGATATGGTATGTGCTGAGAACAGTTTCTGGCAGTGGTAGGGATGAATAAATGTTATTTTTATTTCTTTTTCTTAGGACAGTGAGGAGGAATTTGGTTCTGAGCGAGATGAGTACCGGGAGAAGTCAGAGAGTGGGGGGAGTGAATATGGAACCGGACCAGGTCGGAAACGAAGAAGGAAGCACCGAGAAAAAAAGGAGAAGAAGACAAAGCGGCGGAAAAAGGGGGAGGGAGATGGGGGGCAAAAGGTGAGTAGAATTAGGAAATGAGAGTGAGAAATCCGCATTAAAGATGGGCATGAGGAGGGGAGGAATGGAGACTGGACTGGAGAATGGAGCAAGAAGCAAGAAAGCCCAGGGAAGCTGGTGGGTTGGTAGACAGGCATGTGTGGGGCCTGGAATAGGGCCTGGAGGAGCACCTACTTCACCAAAGCCCCTCTCCCGCAGCAAGTGGAACAGAAGTCATCAGCAACTCTGCTTCTGACCTGGGGCCTGGAGGATGTGGAGCATGTGTTCTCTGAGGAGGATTACCACACACTCACCAACTACAAAGCCTTCAGCCAGTTCATGAGGTGCGGTAAGACTGGGGAATCCTCGCTAATAGACACTTTTAATTTGAGGGCGGCCCTGGACCCCTTGGAATCTGATGAAAGCTATGAAACTGCTCTCCAGAGAATTCACGGCATATACACACCCAATTCCACACGTCATTTCAGGGAACTCTTGGACTTGTAAGGATCCAAGAACCCCAGTTAAGACCTCTTCACTGAGGGGCGAGGGGTGGAGGGGCGATCATGATTCCAGTGCTGGGTTAGAGAACTCTTTCACAACAGAATGAAGTGAGGACAGAATATAGTGAGCCCTCCGCTGCCCCAACAGCTCCATCTTCTGCTCTGTGACTTCTCTCTAGCTGGACCTGAGAGATACCATCAGTGTTCCTAAACTTCCTTTGCTCACTTAGCAGGTCCCGTGCCCCTTCCTTAGGCCTTGGTAATAATGGAGGGTCCATTGCTGGCCGTGGGACCTGAGCTTCAGTGGCTCCTGAAGAAGGGTAGAGAATAGTAGAGTAGAAAATAACAGAGATGGGCCGGGTCCGGTGGCTCATGGCTGTAATTCCAGCACTTTCGGAGGCCAAGGCAGGTGGATCACCTGAGGTCAGGAGTTCAAGACCATCCCGACCAACATGGCGAAACCCCGTCTCTACTAAATACAAAAAACATTAGCTGGGCATGGTGGCACATGCCTATAATCCCAGCTACTCAGGAGGCTAGGCAGGAGAATCGCTTGAACCCGGGAGGTGAAGGTTGTAGCGAGCCAGGATCACGCCATTGTGCTCTAGCCTGGGCAATGAGCGAAACTCCATCTCAGAAAAAGAAAAGAAAAAGAAAACAGTGCAGACGTATTTTTGGGGAGGAGGCACTTTAACATATCAGTTCAGTGCTCTGGAGGCAGCTGCTGAGGTTCAGATCTGGTTACATTTTGGGCAAGGAACTTAACCTCTTCAATCCTCAATTTTCTCTTCTATAAACCGGGAATAGTAATATATACCTCATAGGAATCTGTGTGGGTTGGGTGGGATAGTGAATAGAAAGCACAGTACAATCAGTGCCTAGCCCCTAGGGAACATTCAGTAACTGATGACTGTCATTAGTAATGTTGTCTCACCTACCTCACTGCTGAACATGGGGCTTTTCTCAGCACCATGGCTCACCCATGTCAGCACAAGTGTTTAGCACCCCACCCCAGAGCAGAACCAGCATGGTCTATCTCTTTCACACTTCGTCCTACAGAAGCCCATCTTCAGGGCCCATGGAACTTACTAGTAAAATGCAGAGAATCATAGCAACTCAAGGGTATTATTGTGAGGACGAGATAAGGTATAATGTATGTGAAAGTGTTTTATGAACTGTAAAGTAGTATACAAAAGTAAAGTATTTTTGTTAGTTTTATCTTAACCTTTTATGTTTTTCAGTTTTATTTTGCTGTTTTTTATTTTCCTTTTTTTTTTTTGAGACGGAGTTTCACTCCGTCGCCAGGCTGGAGTGTAGTGGCGCAATCTCGGCTCACTGCAACCTCTACCTCCCAGGTCCAAGCAATTCTCCTGCCTCAGCCTCCCGAGTAGCTGGGACTATGCGTGCCACCATGCCCCACTAATTTTTGTATTTTTAGTAGAGACAGGGTTTCACCATGTTGGCCAGGATGGTCTCCATCTCTTGACCTCATGATCCGCCTGCCTTGGCCTCCCAAAGTGTTGGGATTACTGGCCTGAGCCACCGTGCCCGGCCTATTTCCCTTTTTTTAAAGAGAGGGTCTCATTCTGTTATTTAGGCTGCAGTGCAGTGGTATGATCATAGCTCACTGTATCCTCCAACTTCTGGGCTCAAGTCATCCTCCTGCCTCAGCCTAGGCGCCACCACACCCAGCTAATTATTTTTTTTAATTTTAATTTTAGTTTTTTGTAGAGACAGGATCTCGTTTTGTTGCCCAGGCTTATCTCACAGTCCTGGGCTCAAGTGATCCTCCTGCTTCAGCCTGGGATTACAGGCATGAGCCACCGTGCCTGGTCTGTATTTCTTTTTTAATGCTTTTTTAAACCTTTTCTTTCTCCGCTTTTTTAAAACTTATTTTTATTTGTTTAGTTTCTTAAATGGCTGTTTTTCCTAATAGGACATATTCTCACCACCCAGGAATCCTAGCATGTACATAGATTTAATTGATGAGGGGAGATGGCAGTGTTCCCAGACCATCTGTGAAGGGTCCGAGTTTTCTGCTTCTGTATTTACAGGCCCCTGATTGCTAAGAAGAATCCTAAGATCCCAATGTCTAAGATGATGACCATCCTTGGGGCCAAATGGAGAGAGTTCAGCGCCAACAACCCCTTCAAGGGGTCAGCAGCTGCTGTGGCGGCGGCAGCGGCAGCAGCAGCAGCAGCTGTAGCTGAGCAGGTGTCAGCTGCTGTCTCATCGGCCACCCCCATAGCACCCTCCGGACCCCCCGCCCTTCCACCACCCCCTGCTGCTGATATCCAGCCCCCACCCATCCGAAGAGCCAAAACCAAAGAGGGCAAAGGTAGGGAACTCTCTTCCAACAACTGTCATTTCACCTTCCAAACCGCATGTCTTCACATTAGAGTCTGGAACTCTCGCCTTCCCAGCCCTGATTGCCGGAGGAGAGATGCTTTCCAGGAAGTGGGGCTTAGTGAAACCACAGCCCACAGAGGAGTCCAGAGGCTCCTGTGACCTCCATTATTCCAGGATGTCATGACCTCTCCTTTTTCCTCTTCTCACCCAACTCCTCATTCAGGTCCAGGCCATAAGAGACGGAGTAAGAGCCCCCGAGTGCCTGATGGACGCAAGAAGCTTCGGGGAAAGAAAATGGCACCGCTCAAAATAAAACTAGGGCTGCTGGGTGGCAAGAGGAAGAAAGGAGGCTCGGTGAGTGACCCGTCCCTGTCTGCTAAACACCCGGGGGCCAAGGATCCAGAGACAGGGATCCGTGAGGGCCAAGGATCCAGAGACAGGGATCCGTGACGAACAAGGATCCAGAGACAGGGATCTGTGAGAGCCAAGGATCCAGAGACAGGGATCTGTGAGGGACGACGGAGCAGGAAGCCAAAGGCCTGGGGAGGGCGTGGAATGAAGTCTGCCTCACTGACGGCCACGGGGCTATGGGCAGTATGTTTTTCAGAGTGACGAAGGTCCTGAACCAGAGGCTGAGGAATCAGACCTGGACAGTGGCAGTGTCCACAGTGCCTCAGGCCGGCCTGATGGCCCTGTCCGCACCAAGAAACTAAAGAGAGGCCGGCCAGGAAGGAAGAAGAAGAAGGGTAAGGAGTGTTGACTGCGTGTGATCCTGTCAGTGGGCCGTCCTCTCATTCTTATTTTCAATTTTGACTTCTCTCTTCAACCCTTCTCCCTCTCTCTCTCCATCTCCCCCTGCCCCACTTCCTTATCCCTCCACCGGGGTATATGACAGTCCTGGGCTGTCCTGCAGTGGCCGGGGAGGAGGAGGTTGATGGCTACGAGACGGATCACCAGGATTACTGTGAGGTGTGCCAGCAGGGTGGGGAAATTATTCTGTGTGACACCTGCCCTCGTGCCTACCACCTCGTCTGCCTTGATCCTGAGCTTGACCGGGCTCCTGAGGGCAAATGGAGCTGCCCTCACTGTGTGAGTACCTAATGCCAGCATCTGATGACCCTGAGGAACCCACCCATCTCTTTCCCCCTTGGTTTCACTTACCCTCTTCCTACCCCCAGATGGCTGGACTTCTTAGTAACAGATGTCCAAGTGTCTAGGATCCTAATGTATTCCTTTCTCCCACACCTTTGCTCCCAGAATCAGCATTTCTGAAACTGGAGTGTCCTTTTCTTTAGTTCCCACCAGTCTTCTCTGCACTTCTAGGATTCAGGTGTCCTGTCTTTGCCTGTATCTTCCAGTTTCATTCCTTAACTTCTGCCATCTGTCTGTGTGTCTGTCCTTGGCCCCCTAGGAGAAGGAGGGGGTCCAGTGGGAGGCCAAGGAGGAAGAGGAGGAATACGAAGAGGAGGGAGAGGAGGAAGGGGAGAAGGAGGAGGAGGATGATCACATGGAGTACTGCCGCGTGTGCAAGGACGGCGGGGAGCTGCTGTGCTGTGACGCGTGCATCTCTTCCTACCACATTCATTGTCTAAACCCTCCCCTGCCTGACATTCCCAATGGTGAATGGCTGTGTCCCCGATGCACAGTGAGTGGAAACATCTCCCCTCTGTATTTACTGTCGGGCCTGATCCCTTCCCCCATCCCTGGGGCCCACATGTCCAGCTTTTCCTTTCTCTGCACTCCCCTACTCTGTGGGACCCCTATCCTATCATCTAACGATGGGTTCTGTCTGCCTCTTTTTTTTCCTCCTTCTTGTACATGTCCATCCCAAAGTGCCCTGTGCTGAAGGGTCGAGTGCAGAAGATCCTGCATTGGCGGTGGGGGGAGCCGCCTGTAGCAGTGCCAGCCCCTCAACAGGCAGACGGGAATCCAGATGTCCCAGCCCCGCGTCCTCTTCAAGGCAGATCAGAGCGAGAGTTCTTTGTCAAGTGGGTGGGACTATCCTACTGGCACTGCTCCTGGGCCAAGGAGCTTCAGGTACTAGGACCTTTGCTTTCCCTCTCCCCCATGACCTCATTTCCTGCCATCCTCTCCCTCTCTTACTCCTCTGTTTGCTGGGTTCCCATACCCTTCATTTTCTCTCGTTTCAGGCCTCTGGCCTTTATACCCTACTTGCTTAGTTTCCATCTGTGGTTCTTTCGGTCTACAGTCCTCTTTCAGTCTCCATTAGCTTTCTTCCCTCAGATACAGCATAGCCTTTCTTAACTTCACGTCCTTCCTTATCTGTCTTTTTCCATGTTTTATAATATTCCTGGCTGGGCATAGTGGCTCACACCTATAATCCTAGCACTTTGGGAGGCCAGGGCAGGAAGATTGCTTAAGACCAGCCTAGGCAACATAGTGAAACCCCATCTCTATTAAAAAAAAAATTATCGGCTGGGTGCGGTGGCTCACGCCTATAATCCCAGCACTTTGGGAGGCCGAGGCAGGCGGATCACCTGAGGTCAGAAGATCGAGACCGTCCTGGCTAACACAGTGAAACCCCGTCTCTACTAAAAAAACAAAACATTTAGCCAGGCATGGTGGTGGGCGCCTGTAATCCCAGCTACTCGGGAGGCTGAGGCAGGAGAATGGCGTGAACCTGGGAGGCGGAGCTTGCAGTGAGCCAAGATCGTGCCCCTGCACTTCAGCCTGGGCAATAGAGACTCCATCTCAAAAAAAAAAAGAAAAACTCAATGTTTATAACCCCATTCCCTATCTCCTTTTGCTCATAACAGCCCCACCCAGGCCGTGGCTTCTGAAACTGTTGCATGTGTTTCATTTTATTTATTCTCCTGTTTTGGCTTTGACTCATTTGTCTCTGATCCATCCTTTTTCTTTCTTTCTTTTTTCTTTTCTTTTTTTTTTGAGATGGAGTTTTGCTCTTGTTGCCCAGACTGGAGTACAGTGGCACGATCTTGGCTCACTGCAACCTCTGCCTCCTGGGTTCCAGCGATTCTCCTGCCTCAGCCTCCCGAGTAGCTGGGATTACAGGTGCCCGCCACCACGCCCGGCTAATTTTGTATTTTTAGTAGAGATGGGGTTTCTCCATGTTGATCAGGCTGATCTTGAACTCCCAGCCTCAGGTGATCCACCTGCTTCAGCCTTCCAAAGTGCTGGGACACGCCTGTTATTCTCTTATTGCCCAGGCTGGAGTGCAGTGGCGCGACCTTGGCTCACTACAGCCTCCACCTCATGGGTTCAAGCGATTCTCCTGCCTCAGCCTCCTGAGTATCTGGGATTACAGGCGTGTGCCACCACACCTGGCTAACTTATGTATTTTTGGTAGAGACAGGGTTTCTCCATGTTGACCAGGCTGGTCTTGAACTCCTGACTTCAGGTGATCCACCCGCCTGAGCCTCCCAAAGTGCTGGGATTACAGGCGTGAACCACCGCACCCGGCCAATCCATCCTTTTTCATAGCTCCCTTTCCCTGTCCCATTCCTCCTGCTGGCCTCTTCCCTGTTCCCTGTTGTCCTCTGTGAGTGTCAGGCCTGTCTCTTCCCCATTTTTCTGTGCCCTATCAGCTGGAAATCTTCCATTTGGTTATGTACCGAAACTACCAGCGGAAGAATGACATGGATGAGCCCCCGCCCCTGGACTATGGCTCTGGCGAGGATGATGGGAAGAGTGACAAGCGTAAAGTGAAAGACCCACACTATGCTGAGATGGAGGAGAAGTACTATCGTTTTGGCATCAAGCCAGAGTGGATGACTGTCCACCGTATCATCAACCACAGGTGAATCCTTGGCCCTGGGAAGTAAGACCTGGTATATGACACTATTCTTACCATGGTGATGGCCTCATGTTAGTATTTGCTGATTAGCCAGGTAATTGATCTAACCTTGATAACCTCTGCTGCAGCTCCAGCCTTTCTGGCCTTGTTTCCTCCAGGGGAATGGGAGAAAACAGGAGGAAAGTTCGGCCAGGCAGTGCCTCTTTTGTCATCTCCAGTGGCATAAGACATAGCACATGAGTCTGGGGATGAGGGCATGAAAGCGAAACATGAGAGACAATTCATCCAGACCAGTGTTTTGAATATTTCTTCTTCATGGTACTTATTACTGCCTAAAGTTACGGTATTTATTTAGTTATTTCAATGCTGTCTTCCCCACGAGACTCTGAGTTCCATGAGGAAAATACTTAGTGATTAGGTGAACAAATGATATAAGGAGGGATCTCCAGGAATGTTTTGTGATAGTTGATTTTTAGGATACCATCCTGAGAAGGTTAGGCTGCCAGGTTAACTATTCTCACGTCCCTTCCAGCGCCCACTGTTGAAGGTTGGGTGACAAATTTTGTGTGTTTGCTGATAATTGCGTTTCTCAGGCCTTCTTGCTGTTTGTGATCTATGCAATTTTTGTTTCCTCCTGCTCCTCCTTATGGCCTCCTGCCCCACAGTGTGGATAAAAAGGGGAATTACCACTATCTAGTAAAATGGAGGGACTTGCCATATGACCAGTCCACGTGGGAGGAAGATGAAATGAATATCCCTGAATATGAAGAACATAAGCAAAGCTACTGGAGACACCGGTGAGGGAACGAGCCTGTGGATTCGAGGGATTCTGAGGATGAGGGCCTGAAAGCTAAAACTCCAGCATAAAATGAGGGTATAGAAGGGACTGATTCAACCTGGAGTTCAGGGCAATGGCCACCTGGGCTGGGTTGTTTGAGATGGGCTTGCTAAAGAGGTAGTGTAAGGAACAAAAACAAGATCTGGCTGAGTAGTGGAGAAGAGAATGTTCAAGAGTGGGGAGGGCTGGTTCTTGAGGTGAAATCCAAAGGGCAAGGGTAAAAAGCCTGGGAAAAAGGAAATATGGCAAAATCTAGGTCATGGACAGTGGGAAGTAGGTCTGGAATGGGTTCAGAAAAGAAAGCGTAGGACTCCCAAAGATGAGGCCTCATTCAGAGCCACTCTTTTTCCAGAGAACTAATTATGGGGGAAGACCCTGCCCAGCCCCGGAAGTATAAGAAAAAGAAGAAGGAGCTACAGGGTGATGGGCCTCCCAGTTCTCCCACTAATGATGTGAGTCCTCTCAGTTGGCATTTCTTGTTTCTGGAGCCATGGTGATCGAAGAGTTCCCAAGGGCTATTGATGGAACTTCCCAGAGATTCAGTAACCTCTGTGAACAGTAGCTCTTCCTTCAGCGTCCAGCCTTGCCCCAAGAGTGGTTAAGAATTTTGGCCTAAAAGGGCAGGAGCTGCTAGAGATAGCCCACTGGCGGCTCTTTCACCAGCTGGCCCTCCCCCATGGTGCTGCTGGATATTGTCTTACAGAATGAGGGGGAGGGGCTGAAGACTGGATGTGAGAACTTTTGTAAACTCAGGCCATAGTAGAGGGAATTGTAATCCAACTTGGTATCCATGCCAGGGAGGAGGAGACTAAAACTGGAGGAGCTGCTGGTTATTTCCTTGAGCTTTCTGACTTCTTGTCTCTGTAGCCTACCGTGAAATATGAGACTCAGCCACGGTTTATCACAGCCACTGGAGGCACCCTGCACATGTACCAGCTGGAAGGGCTGAACTGGCTGCGCTTCTCCTGGGCCCAGGGCACTGATACCATTCTAGCTGATGAGATGGGGCTGGGCAAGACCATACAAACTATTGTCTTCCTCTACTCACTCTATAAGGAGGTGCTGGACTCTAGGACCTTGAAGGGGACCGCTTGGACTGGGGAAGTGGGGAGGGGGAAGATGGAGGGGTGTAGCTGGCAGAGGACTGGGGTATACAGCCTCTAGCCTAGACTTATGCTGCCCCATTCTTGACTCCCAGGGCCACACAAAAGGTCCCTTCCTGGTGAGTGCCCCACTCTCTACCATCATTAACTGGGAGCGGGAGTTCCAGATGTGGGCACCCAAATTCTATGTGGTGACATACACGGGTGACAAGGATAGCCGGGCCATCATTCGTGAGAATGAATTCTCCTTTGAGGACAACGCCATCAAAGGGGGCAAGAAAGCTTTTAAGATGAAGGTAAGCCCCTCTACCTCATATCCTCTAAGACCCTCAAATCTGTCACTTCTTTTTCTCAGCCAGGAATTCAGTTTCTCTATTCCCCTCTCTCCTCACCTTTCTCCTCTTCCTCCACCTGTCCTCGTGTCTCTGCACTACCATCCTAGAGATGTGGCAGGTACTCCCAAGGGCGTACATGGATCTGTCAGTACTGGAAATGTGGACAGAGGTTTAGGGGCCATGGTCTGTAATCCCTGCTTGGAGAACAGAGTAATGGCTCCTATTGGGAGCCACAGTCAGGAAAAGGTGTCTGGAGGTGTAAGTCCATGGTTGTCAGGTGGCAGCTGAATGGGCAATAATTATGTTGGCAGAGGGAGGCACAGGTGAAGTTCCACGTTCTCCTGACATCGTATGAGCTGATCACCATTGATCAGGCAGCACTCGGTTCTATCCGCTGGGCCTGTCTTGTGGTAGATGAGGCCCATCGACTCAAGAACAACCAGTCCAAGGTGAGTGAGGTTCCCAGACCTCAAAAACTTGAAATGGTGGGCTCCTACTTGCCCTGGTCCTAAAAAAACCCAAACAAAGTTCTGGGGATTTTCTGTAGTCTGGGAGGACGGCCAGGTTGGAGGAGGGAGAGGGCCAAAGATTTGGGGCCTCTGATCCTGAGTGAAATGGGAGCTGGGACAGAGAAAGGCTGATGCTGTGGGTCGGTCATTTGCCACTAATAAGCCCATTCTCCTGCTTTGCCTTGCCCCATCTTTTAGTTTTTCAGGGTTCTCAATGGTTACAAGATAGATCATAAGTTGCTGCTGACAGGAACCCCACTGCAGAATAATCTGGAGGAGCTCTTCCATCTCCTGAACTTCCTCACCCCAGAGAGATTTAAGTAAGTGGTTCCCTAAGGGTAGTTGGCAGAGATGAGAGGTGGAGCAGATAAAATGAACCGGTAGAGGATTAATCTGAGGTGGTAAGCCTGAGATCAGCGGCAAATAACTTGCCAACCTGTTAATTTTCTTCTCTCCTGGCTCTTAGCAACTTGGAGGGCTTCCTGGAGGAGTTTGCTGACATATCCAAAGAGGACCAGATCAAGAAACTGCATGATTTGCTGGGGCCACATATGCTACGGAGGCTCAAGGCAGATGTCTTTAAGAACATGCCAGCCAAGACAGAGCTCATCGTTCGGGTGGAGCTAAGCCCCATGCAGAAGTAAGATGCAAGACAAGCTGCCTGGAGTAGGGGTTGGGGATTGATGGGAGCATTCCAAGAGCAATATCATAATTGCTTCCTTTATTTATGTTTCTTTTACACCCCTTTCCTGGCCTTTAGGAAATACTACAAGTACATCCTGACTCGAAATTTTGAGGCCTTGAATTCACGAGGTGGTGGGAACCAGGTGTCGCTGCTTAATATCATGATGGATCTTAAGAAGTGCTGCAACCATCCATACCTTTTTCCCGTGGCTGCTATGGTAGATACACAGAGCAGGAGCTGATCGAATGTCCGCTCTCAGAAAACATGGGTGGGGAGTAGTGGGGAGGTGGGTATTGAGCCACAAGGGTGGAGTGCGCTGGAAGGCCAGGGACTGGGTCTCTGAGAGCAGTAGGAATTGGGAATGTGTGGAAGCTGGATCTGGGCATCTGGCCTTCTAGGCATGGTAAGAATATGGGGAGATGTTTCCAACTGACCCTGTCCTCCTCCTCTCTCCTCCCTTTTCAGGAGTCCCCCAAACTCCCCAGTGGGGCTTATGAGGGTGGGGCACTTATTAAGTCATCTGGGAAGCTCATGCTGCTCCAGAAGATGCTGCGAAAGCTGAAGGAGCAAGGACACCGAGTACTCATCTTCTCGCAGGTGACCTGTGCCCTTAGCTGTCTACATCTGCTTCCTCTTCCCTCTCCTCGTCCTCCACACTTTTATTTCTTACCGTCTTCCTGTGGCTGCTCCAGTGTGACAAATGAGGAGATTCCTCCTGTAAGAGTTTTTTTTTTTTTTTTTTTTTTTGAGACAGAGTTTCTCTCTTGTTCCCTGACTGGAGTGCAGGGGCGTGATCTGGGCTCACTGCAACCTCTGCTTCCTGGGTTCAAGTGATTCTCCTGCCTCAGTCTCCCGAGTAGCTGGGATTACAGGTGCCCACCTCCATGCCTGGCTAATTTTTTGTATTTTTAGTAGAGACGAGGTTTCACCATGTTGGTCAGGATGGTCTCGATCTCCTGACCTCAGGTGATCTGCCCACCTCGGTCTCCCAAAGTGCTGGGATTACTGTATAGCAAGTTTATTCTTGGCCTCTGATGCCTGTTCTTAAGGTTATTGGAAGTTGAAGTCCAGCTTTAGTTCCTTTTCAGCTGCATGGGGGAAGGGTGAGGGTGAGCCTCCTTAGAGATTGGTATTATTTCTTCATCTTATTGGCAGGTGAGGGTGAAGGCACAGACCCTCTGGAAATGTGATGAAAACTCTGGGTCCACTCTCCAGACAACTGTACATACAATGACACAAATTTGTATGGATTTTCAGGGGGTTCCTAGATTTCCCTGAAACCTTTTCATGGGTCGCAGAGAACCTCTGCCTTAGGAGAAACATTCTTAAATCAAGAGAGTGTGACAAGAGGGCCAGACATGGTAGCTCACACCTGTTATCCCAGCACTTTGGGAGGCTGAGGCAGGAGGATCACTTGAGGTCAGGAGTTTGAGACCTGGCCAACATGGTGAAACCCCGTCTCTACTAAAAATACAAAAATTAGTTGGGCGTGGTGGCGCACACCTGTAGTCCCAGCTACTAGGGACTCTGAGGTAGTAGGAGCACTTGAACCCGGGAGTGGAGGTTGCAGTGAGCTGAGATGGCACCACTGCACTCCAGCTTGGGCAATAGAATGAGACTCCATCTCAAAAATAAAAATAAAGGCCGGGCGCGGTGGCTCAAGCCTGTAATCCCAGCACTTTGGGAGGCCGAGACGGGCGGATCACGAGGTCAGGAGATCGAGACCATCCTGGCTAACACAGTGAAACCCCGTCTCTACTAAAAAATACAAAAAACTAGCCGGGCGAGGTGGCGGGCGCCTGTAGTCCCAGCTACTTGGGAGGCTGAGGCAGGAGAATGGCGCAAACCCGGGAGGCGGAGCTTGCAGTGAGCTGAGATCCGGCCACTGCACTCCAGCCTGGGCGACAGCGCGAGACTCCGTCTCAAAAAAAAAAAAATAAAAAGAAAATAAAAAGAAAAATAAAAAGAAAAAGAAAAAAGAGAGTGTGATAAGAATGTGGAATAAAGAGGAGCTTAAGACAGGGCAGGGGTTCAGGTGTAAGGATCAGGGTTGAGTTTGTATAAAGGAGTAGTTAGAATAAGCAAGCTATCCCACCACCTCATTATTCCAGACTCCATCCTTTCCTTTTGCTCTAGATGACCAAAATGTTAGACTTGCTTGAGGACTTCTTAGACTATGAAGGCTACAAGTATGAACGCATCGATGGTGGCATCACTGGTGCCCTGAGGCAGGAGGCCATCGATCGGTTTAATGGTGAGGGAGATACACTGGTCCCTGGTGGGTGTGGGAGGCCTGAGAAACCTGTGATAGGTCTCTGGGATGGGAGGGGGACTGGCTTGGGGGACGTTGGAAACTTAGGCTTTGAGTTGGGGGCATGGTTGTTTGTCATCAGAGAACGTCTAGGAGCAGGTGGACAGACCTACTGGGTACAAGAAAAACCTGATCCAACTCTCACCTCCTAGCTCCTGGAGCCCAACAATTCTGCTTCCTCCTGTCCACCCGAGCTGGGGGCCTGGGCATCAATCTGGCCACTGCTGACACTGTCATCATCTTTGATTCTGACTGGAACCCCCATAATGACATCCAGGTGGGAACTCGTATCCTGGAGCGCCTGCACCATTTAGCAAGGAGATGTGGGTTCATGGAGGAGGGTGTCATGTTCCGGGGTCAGAAATAAATCGCTTCTAGGAGGAGAGAAGACCCTTCTTCAGCAGCCTTCTTTCTTGAGCATGTGGGCAGCTTCTCCCCGGCCACTCCCCTGGCCCACCCGCCACTTTCTCTTGCCCCTGCAGGCCTTTAGCCGGGCTCATCGGATTGGCCAGGCCAACAAAGTGATGATTTACCGGTTTGTGACTCGTGCGTCAGTGGAAGAGCGAATCACACAAGTGGCCAAAAGAAAGATGATGCTGACACACCTGGTTGTGCGGCCTGGGCTGGGCTCCAAGGCAGGCTCCATGTCTAAGCAGGAGCTTGACGACATTCTCAAATTTGGCACTGAAGAGCTGTTCAAGGATGAAAACGAGGGTGAGAACCTTTTCTGCAGCTCTGTGAAAGCAGGCCCCTGCTCTCCCAGGAGTACTTCTCAGCCCCCTGCGGAGGGAAAAACAACTCTTCTCTGCAGCCTTTGAAGGAAGGAGAGCCTTCTTTTAGTGGCTCTTGGAGGAAGGTTGACCTCTTTCTTTGCCTGTAGGGTTAAAACAAACAAAACATAAACCTTTCAACATTGGCTCCCAGGGAAAGAGCCTTCTCCAGGGCTTCTGTGCAAAGGATGCAGAGTAGAAGCTTTCCCATCAGCCTTTCTAAACTTTGGAACCCAAAGTTCCCTGTTTTCCCTCTCACCAGGGGAGAACAAGGAGGAAGACAGCAGTGTGATTCATTATGACAATGAGGCCATCGCTCGGCTGTTGGACCGGAACCAGGATGCAACTGAGGACACTGACGTGCAGAACATGAATGAGTATCTCAGCTCCTTCAAAGTGGCACAGTACGTCGTGCGGGAAGAAGACAAGGTGAGAGGCTCTGGGGGCCAGACATTATCTATCCCAGGCCATCTCCAAAAGGCAGTATCCTTTACTTGGCCTTGAAATAGGAGGGTCCGTCCCCCTTAGAACAGTAGTGGACCTCAAATAACTTCTTCGTCTAATAGGTGAGACTGGACTTCAGAGAGAAACGTAGGCACAGACAGTACTGGTAAACACAGAAGGGTACCTTCTGAGACAGTGCAGGAGAAACACTGTCAGAGGGATTAGAGGAGAGATTTAGAAAACATGAGGAGAGCACGCTGCAGGTAAGAGATGGCATGGAACATGCACAATGTCCAGAAAATGTATGCAGAGTCACGCAGCTCCAGGAGTGGGGAGACCGGATTGGGCTGACGCAGCAGAGTAGGGATTTCATTGCCATGGAAAGATTAGCAAAGAAGGAGACCCCCAGTGTTCATTCATTCTGCTGCCCTTCAGATTGAGGAAATTGAGCGAGAGATCATCAAGCAGGAGGAGAATGTGGACCCTGACTACTGGGAGAAGCTGCTGAGGCATCACTATGAGCAACAGCAGGAAGACCTAGCCCGGAATCTAGGCAAGGGCAAGCGGGTTCGCAAGCAAGTTAACTACAATGATGCTGCTCAGGAAGACCAAGGTGAGGACTGCCCCAGATGCAGGCAGTAAAAGCGGGGGAAGTGATGATGAGAAGGGACTTAAGGCTGGGGCTACTTAGAGGGTAAGAGAGAAGCCTAGAAGTCAGAGCCTTTCCCTGCTAAAAGGGAAAGACGTAAGGTAGAGTCATTAGGAACTACCCGGAGGCCAGGTGGGTTTGCAGGTGATTTAAACTATTTGGTGGTTGCACAGGCATCCTGTGGACACCCAGGGCCACTGCTTAAAGTAGGTTTGGCAGGAGAACCAGAGGGGCCCAGAGACTGAAGGTGGGCGGTGAATGGAGATGCTGTAGGATATGCGGCTCCCAAGTCAGACTTCGGGCAGTGACCTGGCGTTCCCAGAAGGGCCAAGGCCAGAATACAGGTAGACAAGTCTTGGCAGGGAGGAAGCCAGCCAGAAAGGGCCCCAGCACGGGCATATCCCGAGAGACCTCCCTGACCACTGGGCCCTCTCCACCCCCACAGACAACCAGTCAGAGTACTCGGTGGGTTCAGAGGAGGAGGATGAAGACTTCGATGAACGTCCTGAAGGTGGCATCTGTGTTCCTGACTCTTACCTCTTACCATTTTATTTTTCAGTTTGCTTTAAGCCCACTGTTTTTGTACAAGTAAAAAATCTTTGTGTGTGTGTGGAAAAACTCCATTGCAGATGAGCAGAAAGGAAGCAATGTTGATAGTCTCTCCACTAGTAAACTTCGGTTTGTGTGACCACATAGACTAGATCAAGAAAGGCTGAATCATTTTCCATTTCCACTGGTAATCTGGGCCTTTGTCAGATATCAGCTATTAATTTTAAAATATGACTAGTTCTTTTAGAGTCACTGGGTTAGTAGTTCTGAAGTGCTTGGGAGAGAATTGGGAGCACCTCAAACATGATAGGAATGTTCCTGTGTTCTGTATCTTGTGGGAATGGGGTGCTAAGGAGGACTGAGGCTTAGAGGAGGTGGTGGATCAGCTAATTGATGTCATCCCCACTCTCAGGGCGTAGACAGTCAAAGAGGCAGCTCCGGAATGAGAAAGATAAGCCACTGCCTCCACTGCTGGCCCGAGTCGGGGGCAACATTGAGGTGAGAGCTGGGCCCAGTGTTCGTGAGTTCTCCAAGGAGAGCATGAGGGCAGAAGGTTGGAAATTGGGGCCTGGATCACTGAGGGTAGAAAGGACAAGACCTAAGAACCCTGGACATTTGTCGTCATTGCCTTCTTGCCCCCACCCTCAGGTGCTGGGCTTCAATACCCGTCAGCGGAAGGCTTTCCTCAATGCCGTGATGCGCTGGGGGATGCCACCACAGGATGCCTTCACCACGCAGTGGCTGGTGCGGGACCTGAGGGGCAAGACTGAGAAGGAGTTTAAGTGAGTGTGGGTGATACAGGGCTGAGTTGGACGCGAGGGTAAGAGCTTTGGGTGTTCCATTCTTCCTCGGGGCCGCCATATGATGTGACCTTACTCAACTGATTGTCACCCTCCCTGCCATACAACGCTTCCTGGCTCGATTTCCTGGGGGGTGGTCTCAGCCCACCCCACCTCCCCTCAGCCGAGCCTAGAGTAGAGGGGCCAGGCATCCTCCCCAGGGGAGAGGTGTTGAAGCAAGGAACCTCTCCTGGGCTGTCCTAGCCTCACATTTACTTGGCCACAATCACCTGGCAGGAGGAGCTGGTGGAAAGGATGAAGAGCTGACTGATGGGGCCCAGGAATTAAGTACCAAGGCCAAGGGGATAGGCCAGGGATGGGGCGCAGGGGCACGGTTAGGACTTGGAGGGCTGGTAATGGTGAGAGTGAGAGGCCCAGGGGAGGAGCCCTGGAGCATCTGGGGATTTGGGGACTTGGGGGTCCTCAGTCATCCTTGCATCTTCCTCACTGCCCTATACCCCTTCTGTGGCTTCCCTAACCGTTCTCCCACCCCATGCTTCTTAGGGCCTATGTATCTTTGTTCATGCGCCATCTGTGTGAGCCTGGGGCAGATGGCTCTGAAACCTTTGCCGATGGGGTCCCTCGGGAGGGACTGAGTCGCCAGCAGGTGTTGACCCGCATTGGAGTCATGTCTCTCGTCAAGAAGAAGGTATCAGTCTTCCTCTCACCCAAAAAATCAAGCTGGCTGCCTAGTCTCTGTCCTTCCTCTGCCTCTGTCCCTGAGTTGTAAGCTCGCGCTGGTGTGAGACGGAGGAGACTGGAGTTTCCTGTCTGTATGTCTGTAAGTGCCTGGAGCTGACACCTGTCCTTCCCACCCCAGGTGCAGGAGTTTGAGCACATCAATGGGCGTTGGTCAATGCCAGAACTGATGCCCGACCCCAGCGCTGACTCTAAGCGCTCCTCCAGAGCCTCCTCTCCTACCAAAACGTCTCCCACCACTCCTGAGGCTTCTGCTACCAACAGTCCCTGCACCTCTAAACCTGGTAATCAGAAATCAGGATGGTGGGAGAGACAGAAAGGGAGCCAGGAGTCAGGGCAAGAGAACCTCTGTCTTTATCACTGTGCCTTCCCCTGCAGCTACTCCAGCTCCAAGTGAGAAAGGAGAAGGCATAAGGACTCCTCTTGAGAAGGAGGAAGCCGAAAACCAGGAGGAAAAGCCAGAGAAGAACAGCAGAATTGGGGAGAAGATGGACACAGAGGTATGTGGCTCCCTGGCTTCCCCTGTGGAGTGGGAGGGGAGGGGGCTTGGAGGCCAGATGCCTGGGAGCCCTCCAGCTCATCCTGACCCCATTGTCCTCTTACAGGTTGATGCCCCCAGCCCAGCCCCATCACTCGGGGAGCGGCTGGAGCCAAGGAAGATTCCTCTAGAGGATGAGGTGCCAGGGGTACCTGGAGAGATGGAGCTTGAACCTGGGTACCGTGGGGACAGAGAGAAGTCAGGTGGGTGCATGGCCTTAGGAGTGATGGGGGATTAGAATTTGGGATGTCCCTCTTCTGGGGTCAGAGGATGAGGGTAACATCCTCCCTTCCTATCCCCTACCCCCTCCCACAGCCACAGAGTCGACGCCAGGAGAAAGGGGGGAGGAGAAGCCGATGGATGGACAGGAACACAGGGAGAGGCCGGAGGGGGAAGCAGGGGATTTGGGCAAGAGAGGTAATGGGTGGAAGGACCGGACACCTGGGTCCCTGAGGGCATCAGGGGAGGTGGAGTCTGGGGAACCAAATGCTTGGGTCCTGGGCGGGTAGCTGTTTGAAAGGCCAGGACAGCACAGTACAGATAGTAGTCTTGGGACCTGGGAGGAGGGTGTCCTGAGGTGTGAGCTTTGGCCTGTCTGTCCTAGCAGAAGATGTAAAAGGTGACCGGGAGCTTCGACCAGGGCCTCGAGATGAGCCACGGTCCAATGGGCGACGAGAGGAAAAGACAGAGAAGCCCCGGTTCATGTTCAATATCGCAGATGGTGGCTTCACAGGTTGGGGAGACTCTCGCTGCTTTCTGCTCCTCAAGGGGATCTGCTCATCCTCATGGGGTTTCTCGTTTTGCCTGAGGCTTCCTGCTACCTTTAATTCCAAGTAACTTCCAATGAAGTATGTTGCATGCTGACTCCGATCCTTGCTCTAAATCTTTCTTAAGTATCCCTCTTAACTCCAAAGCTGGCTCTAATCCCACCTTTATTCTTAATTCTAACTCGAACCTGGTTAGTAACGGAGTTTGTTCCGAACTCCTGACCTAACCTTTACCCATTCCTCTTCAGGAGCCCTTAGTTCCCTTTCATTATTCAGTTTCCCCATCTGTACCTGTCTGTTGGACTGAGTGCAGTCTGCAAACCCTTGTTGCCTCTTCTGTCTGCTGCCGCCTTTGCAGAGCTTCACACACTGTGGCAGAATGAGGAACGGGCAGCTATTTCCTCAGGCAAACTCAATGAGATCTGGCACAGAAGACACGACTACTGGCTTCTGGCTGGGATTGTCCTGTATCCTTTGACACACGTGCAAGAAAGAAAAAGTTCTCTCAAGCTGGCAAAAAAAAAAAAGGATGATGATTTCACACCCAGGGACAGGGCTACTGCCACACTTTGGGGAGTTAGGCCAAAAGGAAGAAGTGTTCAAAGCCAAGCCCATTCCTGTTAATTTCCTTGATGGTTCCCTTTCCTTCATTGGTAGCCATGGCTATGCACGGTGGCAGGACATCCAGAATGATGCTCAATTTGCCATTATCAACGAGCCATTTAAAACTGAAGCCAATAAGGGGAACTTTCTGGAGATGAAAAATAAGTTCCTGGCCCGGAGGTTCAAGGTGGGAATGAGGGAGGACAGGAATGGGTTATGGACGGGCTTGGGTCAGAAGTGAGGCCAGATCTAGTTGGAACCTAGGGAAGGTTAACACCTTCAGGGCTGAGGTGATGCTTGGAGCCAAGACCAAAGTGTAACCTTGTGCTTGGGAGTGTGGTCTGGGTCAGGGTTGATGCTAGGTTCGCAGTTGGTTTGGAGCTAGGAGTGCTCTGGGCCAGCAGCGAGGGCAGGGTAGGTCTCCTGCTATGTCCAGTCCCCCCACCTGCCACTCACTCACTGCTGGCAGAACCCTGCCTTCACCTCCCAACCCTGTGCCCTCAGCTCCTGGAGCAGGCGCTGGTGATTGAGGAGCAGCTGCGGCGGGCGGCCTACCTGAACCTGTCGCAGGAGCCGGCGCACCCCGCCATGGCCCTCCACGCCCGCTTCGCCGAGGCCGAGTGCCTGGCCGAGAGCCACCAGCACCTCTCCAAGGAGTCGCTGGCGGGGAACAAGCCGGCCAACGCCGTCCTGCACAAGGGTAAGGGCCGCGGCGGCCCCGCGCGGGGGAGGGCCCACAACGCTGCGTAAGTCTTCACCCCGCACCCCTCAAAATCTTCCCACCCCCTGACCCCTCTACCCTCTGAACCACCCCCCTCTGACCTCTAACCCCACCCCTACCGACCTGGCACCCCCTTGGATTTTAGCCTCTAGGACTTGTGCAAACCAACCCTCATCCACACCTGATAGCATTCACAACCATGCCCCATAGAGGGACCTGCCCCAGCCTCCACATCCCCTCTACACAGTGGGGCCTCTTCACTGGCAGTGGAGCCGCATCCCCGCCATACTGCCGACATCATCCAGTTAGGGGCCTTGGACTGTGTGTGCACCATACAAATCCCTGGCTCTGGTCAAACAAATCACATTCCCTCACATCTGTTTCACCCCATGAGGCAGAAACTACCACCCATCCAACCCTCTGACCCTCCCTACTCCATGAAACTTCCCTTTGACCTTCGACCTTTCCTCCTACCGCCTCTTACCTTGCCAATGATAGAGATTATATCCAAAGCCCTCTAACCATCTAATCCTGCCTGATGTAGTCACTGACTCCTGGTCCCTTTGATCCCTGTTCTAATTCCTTGAACCTGTAATACTGACCTTCTAACCTCCCTCTCCCCTTACATATTAAAATCTTGATTCCTTAAAGCTTTGACACTTACCACCTCCCATGCCTCCTGACTATTTCCTCCCCATCATCCCCAACCCCAAACCTTGCTCTTCCAGTATGAGATGTTCTGACAACTCCCCGCCCCCATGTCTTCCGATGTCCCCCCATCTTCCTTTCCTCCATGCTCCCTTTTTCTTTCTTCTTTCTCTCCATCTGTCTTCTGTGGTGATCTGTTCTCTCTCTTTTCCTAACACTTTTTCTTTTCCCCTGAGTTGCTTCTGTTTTTTGTCTACTTTTACTTTCTTGATCTCTGGTTCTTTGACATCTGTGTCCTCCTCTCTCGCTCTTTTTCTGCCTGTATCTGTCCGTCTGATGCCTCTCTTTTCCTGGCTCCATCTCTCTATTTCCCTGTCTTTCTCTTGCCCTTCTTTCTCTGTGGCCCGGGCCCCAGTTCTGAACCAGCTGGAGGAGTTGCTGAGCGACATGAAGGCGGACGTGACCCGCCTGCCAGCCACGCTATCCCGAATACCCCCCATCGCAGCCCGCCTTCAGATGTCCGAGCGCAGCATCCTCAGCCGGCTGGCCAGCAAGGGCACGGAGCCTCACCCCACACCGGTAACCCTCTTTCCCCCTAGCTCCAGTTTTCCCTGTTTGGGTTCCTCCTGCACACATACAAACACTTCCATCAGAATCCTATACAATATGGAAAAACATCTTGCTAGAACACAGTCGTCACCCTTGAGTGAGTCTGCCTGCCTGTGTATCCTACCCTCAGTAGCTGTGGAGTGTGGCTCCTAATGTCTCCCCTACAGCTTCTTTCCTCTCCCAGACTATGAACTAACTCCAACTTCTGCTTACTCTCTGTTCCAGGCCTTCCCCCCGGGTCCCTACGCTACACCTCCGGGGTACGGGGCGGCCTTCAGCGCCGCACCCGTAGGGGCCCTGGCCGCCGCAGGCGCCAATTACAGCCAGATGCCTGCAGGGTCCTTCATCACAGGTCAGCTGGTGTTTTCCTACCCCCTGCTACTCACACTCCTCCTTTGCCAAACTTTATTTCTGCTCAGCTGCCCTTTAACTGCTCTAGTCTATCTCATTTCCTTGGTGGTATCTGGTGTTTTATGGGATAGAGTTGTTCTAGGCTGTCCCCCCCATCCCTTTCTTAACCCCTCTTTGATCTCCTTTATCAAAAACCAGAGTTTTAGTAGATCTGTGACTTGGTGTCTTCTACCCAAGCCACCTCCCTCCAGGTTCCTTCAAGGGAAAGTGAATATGAAACCCGAGGGGTATAGAGTGGGAACATGTGTTCAGTCATGTAACACAAAGTGGAATCTCAGGGAAAGGGGTTTGCCCTTGTCTTCCCACCCTTACCTGGGGCAACTGGAAGTGGCAGGAGGTGGCCTAGAAGTGAGAATTCACCACTGTCATGAAGTGATGTTTGGGAGTGATGTGGGAATTGATCTTTCCTTACCACTTTCCCAAACAGCCGCCACCAACGGCCCTCCAGTGCTGGTGAAGAAGGAGAAGGAAATGGTGGGGGCGTTGGTGTCAGACGGGCTGGATCGGAAGGAGCCCCGAGCCGGGGAGGTGATCTGTATAGACGACTGACTGGATCCCAGGCCTGCCCTTCACCCAGGCCCCGTCCCCGAGGCCGACCCCCAGCTCAAGCGCTGGGGCCTGCTGCCAGCCCTCCACCTTCCCCACCCCTTGGGCCATCACTGGGCTAGGAACCCCTTTGCCCCTCTCTGCAGCTCCTCTCTTCAAGAAGGGCCCTTTGTCTTTCTCCACTCCCACGCGCCTTTCCCAGCAAGCCTTGAAGACTGTGCTGGTGAGAAGAGGTCTGGGTGGGAGACGGCTGGCAGGGTCTTCCAAGTACCTTCCTCCCCCACCGCCAAGTATACACAACTTCCCAGTAAATGGTTGTGGGGAGGCAAGAGGTGGAGCCTCCCCAGCTGTTTCCCTGCAGAATCAGCTCCATCTCATGCAGAAGTGGAGAATTAGCCTTGCCTGGCCTTTAGGAACTTTTGCGGGGAAGAGAGCTTTGAAGAGAGGAGGGGGACTTTTAGAGAGGGATGAAAATGAGTCCTGGGAGGGAGGAAGGGACGAGGAGGGGTGGCTGCATGTTACCGTTCCCTACCTCTCCCCACATGGAGGGTGGAGCAGTTATGAGGGAGGAAGTCAATTGCTGTTCAGCCTCAGAATAAAGGTGCCGTTCACTGGCTCAGTTACCTCCTGTGTACCGGCATCTTGTGTTGGGAACGTTCCCCCCTCCCTAGGGACCAAGGACCACCCCCTACAAAGAGTAATGGTTGGGTGATACTCCCTCAAGCCAAAGAGGAGCTCCCCAACCTGTTCTAGGGACCCAGGTCACCTAGAAGGGTGGGAGAGAATACAATGGGCCAGACGGCGGTGGCGGGGAAGCCCCCCAGCTCTGGGGCTTAGGTTCCTGAAGACTTCTACTACCCTCCCTCCTCAAGGCCTAGATACAGACTAAATTTGCGTTAAGTCAGGCAGGGGACCTAGTCAGGGTCTTGGGAGCTACCTTGTCACTGGGACCAGAGCAAAGTAGTGGAGGGCAGGCAAGGGAAATGTGGGCACATCCCCCCTCCCAGGAGGGGCCGGGGAGAGTGGCAGTTTGCATGGCGAACCCCCCACTTCCTCTTTGCTGCCCCTTCACTTTCTTGCTGCCCCTTTCCCAGTCTCTCTTCACACCCACTCCTGGTCTGTCCTGATCCCCTCTTCTGTATCAGGTTTATTGGTTGTACATATAAATTATACTTTCCTTTCTGTGTGCTCTGTTATTTTTTATGGGGGGGGGAGTTTTGGGGGCAGGGATAAGAAAAGTTGTTGCTTTCTGCCTTTTCTTTTTAAAAAAATCTTACGACTTTTTCCTTTTCCTCATTTTTATCTCTTGGATTATTCACTAAAACTGAGGTTCTTCCAGCTCCAACTATGTGATGGGCTCAGTGTAGAGAAGGAGGGTGAGCAGCAGATACTACATGGCCTCAGGTTGACTTCAGAGAGAGTGGGACTTACTGGACAGAAATGTAGTGGGAGGAGTGCCTAGCAAGATTCAAAACTGCCTTCCAGCCATCCTTTTGATCATCCTTTCCACCTTCAAGTTGCACTTTAGTTCCCCTAAGAGTCAGTAGAGGTCACTACAGCTCCACAGGTTCAGTTCCAGTATGAAGCAAAGGCACACTTATTTTTTTAAGGAGTTGAGGGTCAGATCTGTCTAGCTTACCAAAGATTTGAACTGCTAGGCACTTCCTTGATGTTTATTGCTCACTAAACAGAGATTCTCAGAGATTGAGAGAGGCCAGACATTTAGTTCACAAGGCTATTATATTAAAAAAATAAGATATAAAGCCAACAAATATTTATTGAGTACATATTATACAGTAACACTGCTGTTGGCCCTGGAGATAAAACAGTCACAGGTCAGCCCTTGCTACCATGGGGCTTACACTCCAGTGAGGACACCCACAAAGCATGAAAATAAAAGCAGTAAAAATAAAACAGGGCATTATGTTACAGAGCGGTGGGGAAAAGGCTCTACTATGCTGAAGGCAGAAGGCGGCCTCCCAGAAGAGGGAGCATTTAAGCTGAGACGTAAGGACAGGAAAATGCCAAAATAGGGTTACAAAAATTGAGGTTTATAAACCATAAGTGTATATGATTTGTCAATCAAAAATATTTTAAAAAGGTTGGAGACCCCTAAAAATTGAGGTTAATACTTAATAAGTTCACATTTTTAAGAGAAAAATGTAACATAGTAGCTTAGGATTTCTTTAGCAATAGAATGTTACTTTAGAACTTTGGATAAAATAATCTATCAGTCATACTTATTATGTTTTAAATATTCTACCTACAGATGGTGATATCTTAAAAGAGTCTAGGATCTAGACCAATGATACTTATATTTTCACATGCACACAAATCACCTGGGATTGTTAAAATGCCAGAGTCTGGCCAGGCGCGGTGACTCACTCCTATAATCCCAGCACTTTGGGAGGCCGAGGTGGGCGCATCACCTGAGGTCAGGAGTTTGAGACCAGCCTGACCAACACGGCAAAACCCCATCTCTACTAAAACTACAAAAATTAGCCAGGTGTGGTGGCAGGCGCCTGTAATCCCAGCTACTCCGGCGGGTGAGGCAGGAGAATCGCTTGAATCTGGGAGGTAGAGGCTGCAGTAAGGTGAGATTGCGCCACTGCACTCCAGCCTGGGCGACAGAGTGAGACTGTCTCAAAAACAAAAAAAAAACAACCCTGCAGAGTCTGATTCAGGAAGTCTGGAGTGGGATCCTGGAGTGAGATTGTGCGCTTCCATCGACAGTATACCAACGCTGCTGGTCCTTGACTATGACTATATGGTCATAAGATACTTACAGGATTCTAAAATAGAATACATGGCATATATACAATAGGTGACGTCCCATTATGGGACACAAATTTTAAAGACACTTAAAATTGTGTAAGTATCTTTTCAGTAGCGCCAGTGTTCCCTGTGACTGTAAAGATAACACAGATAATAGCAAAAGTTTGAAATATGATGCCTTTCAAATGGCTCTCCTTTCCTACTTTGATAGGCTCTAATTAGGTGCCTCATATCAATGCCCTTTGGAATTTCTGATACCTGCCCTAGCAGGCTGAAGGTAGATTCTGAAATGAAGCAAGGCTCCTCATCATAGTCATAGGCAGGGAGCCATCTCAATTTTTGGAACACAGAACTGGGAGTGGAGAGACAGCAGGCATACCAGCACCCTTACATGCCAGAGAAGTGAGATTAACATGACGCGAAAATTAGCCTCTTCTCTCCCATCCCATCTTAAAAAAAAAAAA